AGCATATGTGTGGGTCATGATTTCTTTTCCATTCAGCTATTCTATGCCTTTTGATTGGAGCATTTAATCCATTTGCATTTAAGGTTATATTGATGGGTCCTTATTCATTGCCATTTTTCATACCTGGGTTTCCCCCTCTCTCTCACTCTTTTTCTTCCTCTTCTTAAAGCAGACCCTTTAGCATCTCTTGCAGAGCTGGTTTGGCTGAGGTGTATTCTTTTAGACATCTTTTGTCTGGTAAACTCCTTACTTGGCATTGCATTTTAATCGAGAGCCTTGCTGGATATAGTAGTCTTGGTTGCAGGCCTTTGGTTCTCATTACTTGGAATCTTTCTTGCCATTCCCTTCTGGCTTGTAGAATTTCCATTGAGAAGTCAGCTGCTAGTCTTATTGGGGCTCCCTTGTATGTTACTTTGTTTTTCCATTGCTGCCTTTAAGATTCACTCTTTGTCTTGGAATTTTGCCTTTTTACTTATGATGTGTCTTAAAAGTGGGCCTCTTTGGGTTCCTCTTGATTGGGACTCTCTGTGTCCTGGATTTGTGTAACTTTTTCTCTCATCAAATTAGGGAAGTTTTCCATCATTACTTTTTCAAACAGGTTTTCTATCCCTTGAGCTTTTTCTTCTCCTTCTGGTATCTCTATTATAGAGATATTATGTGTTTCATGTTGTTTTGCAGTTCCCTTACCATCTCTTCATTCTTTCTAAGTCTGTTTTCCTTTTCTTGTTCTTTCTGGGTGTTTTTTTCTTCCTTGTCCTCCAGCTGATTGATTCAATCCTCTACTTCATCCTGCTTGTCATTCCTTCTAGTGTGTTTTTTATTTCTGAGATTTTATTGTTCATTTCTTCCTGGTTTTTGTTTCTAGTTTCTATTTCCTTTTCATACTGTTGTACTTCTCACTCAGTTCCTTGTAGTTGTCTGTGAGTTCCTTGAGCATCTTTATAACCATTATTTTGAATTCTATATCTGATAGTTTGCTTACCTCCATTTCATTTAGTTCTTTTAGTGGGGAGTCTTCTATTCCTTTTGATTACATGGTCTTTTTTTGTCTCCCCATTTTAGGTGACAGTTTTTGTTGTTTCTGCACTTCCTGATGTTTTGCTTTGCTAGTTGTCTTTGTAGGGTGAATTTCTATGGTAGGAATTCTGTGGGGTTCAGTGGTGTGGTCTCTTTGATCTCCTTGTAGGGATGCTCTAGATTTGCCCTTTTTTCTGTTTGTGTGGGCTCTCTTGTTGTATTTGGGTTCTACCTTTTGGTGGTTCCTATTTTGGTGGTTTCTTTCCTCCAGCAGGTATACTAGGATAGGGTTATATTTAGAAGGGCATATATTTAACTTTCATATTTTCTATCCTTATTAGTAGAAGCACAAGGGGACTTTATTTTCTGTTTCATTTCATTTGCTAATTTTTCTTTTAGTCATTATTTTCTTACTTATCTCCTAAACTTCTTCATTTGTATTTTTTGTTAAATGCATTGCAAGTGTCTTCTGTTGGTATGTTTTATCTGCTCATTTTTATTTCTGATATCTTTTGTTAAACACATTTAAAAAATAGCTTTGTTAAGATATAATCTACACACCACACAACTCACAATTTAAATGGCACAAGTCAGTGTTTTTAGTGTATATATATATATATATATATATATATATATATATATATATATATACAGTTGTGTAACCACCACCATGAGTTTAGAACATGGCATCACTCCAAAAAGAAATGGTACACCTTAGCACTCACTCCCATAGCCCCATCCCTAGGTAACCAGTAATCTCCTCTCTGTATCTATGAGTTTACCTACTCTGGAGATTTCATATAAATAAAATAATAAAATAGATGGTCTTTTGCGTCTGGCTTCTTTTACTTAATATAATGTTTTAAGGTTCATTTATGTTTTAGCAGTTTTAATACTTTGTAGCTTTTATGGCTAAATAACTTTCCATTGTATGGAAATACCAAATTTTGTTTATCCATTCATCAGTTGATGGACATTTGGGTTGTTTTCACTTTTTAACTATTATGAATCATGCTGCTATGAATATACAAGTCTTTGTGTGGAATATGTTTTATATTGCTCATTACACATATTTTTATATTTCACTATAGTCAAGTGTATTAATCTTTTACTTTTATAGATGTTACTTTAATTCTTCTGAAACAACAATCATAAAAATATTATCTTGTATTTTCTTCTTGGCTGTTCACAGCCTTTAAATATCTGGAATTGATCTTGTTTTTTGGGAGTGGGGATGTGGAAAAGGGAGGAGAGTTAGATTATATGATATAGTATTGAAATTTAAATGTATTTTTATGGATTTGGATACCAGGTAGGATGAACAACCTTCCTGGTTTGCCTGGGGCTCACAGGTTTTCAGGGACAAGGCTTTGCAATGCTAAAACCAAGACTGTGCCAGGCAACTGGGATGAAGGGGTCACCCTAATATCAAGTATCTTACTATTTATAGATAGCTCATTATCTCTTTTGTTAAACCACTTTTATCATATGCTGACAAAATTTTCTACATTTCCTTTAATGTTTTCCAGTGATGTGTAAACTATTGTTTTTATGACTAATCATGAGTGCCATTAATTTTGAAAGAAAATGTTCTTATAATTTTTTTCTATGAAAGTCTTAAGTAACTGATTTTTCTATCATTAACATGATATTATTTGTTTATAACTTTGGATTTACACTTTTTAACACAAAACTAAATATTTTATATATAGCTATATTTGATGCCTCTTGTGTCTATCCTTGTTACTTGTTTCCCATGACTAATCTGTAGGTTCACTTCCCCCCACTGAAGTACACCCTATCTTAGTTCTTTTAGGGAGAACCTAAATGTAGTTAATTCTGTTGGCCTTTGCATGTCTGAAAATATATAATTTTACCCATTTTCTTTACTTACAGTTTAAATGTTTTCAGTTATTTTTCTCCAGGATTTTGAAGACATTGCTCTATGTTCTTTTATATATATACATGACATGTGCTACATAATTTTTGGCTATGATGATGATATATAGGTATAGATTTATATTTTATTCACCCTAGTTCATGCAAGTAGGAGAAGTCTGTTCCGGGATCTACCACCACCTGCTACCCTTACACTATCAGTCCCAACATACATTGTTTAGGCCAACATCTCAGCCTCTTGTGCTCCCCCCAAGGCAGCTGAGAAGGGGGAAAGGACAGGGTGAATGCTCTCTGGGAGTCTCACCTACACTGGAATATTTTTGTACATCTCTCAGATAATTATCTATAATCATCTCACTGAGCTTGATTAGCAGGGTAAAAGAGTGGAAAGGGGGTCTAAACATAGTTTTTTTTCACAACTGATGGATATTTTCTCTTCCTAGGGTGGGTCTTGAAAACCCACATGTGTAGGGTAAGCAAACATATGCCTCTTTTCCAGTTTCCTGCAGGTCCTCTAGATTTCTACTTGGGGCTGAAGTCTCTCCTTGAATGTATGTTAGACTCCTTCCTTAGCTCTTGTCAGCCTTGTCTCCCCCATTATCCCACTTGCTGTCTAGACTCTGTCCCAAATGGACACACCACCCAGCACCAGGATTCCATCAGTCCTTGGAGCAAACTTTGCTGCATCTCATCCACCTGTTTGGAAGTTCTTGAAAATTAGCACTAGCCCAAGTCAAGTGGAGCAGATGAAATTTTGCTGGACATTTCATTTTCTCTTTTTTAAGGATTTTATTTATTTATTTTTAGAGCGAGGGGAAGGGAAGGAGAAAGAGAGGGAGAGAAACATCAGTGTGTGGTTGCCTCTCATGTGGTTCTTACTGGGGACCTGGCCTGCAACCCAGTCATATGCTCTGACTAGGAATCAAACCTGTGACTCTGGTTCACAGTCTAGCACTCAATCCACTGAGTCACACCAGCCAGGGAAGTGGACATTTCATTTTCAACTTCCATCCCACCACCAATTCTGTCACTGTTCTTGTCCAGTCCCCATATAAGTTTTTCTTTTTCTTTACTGGTTAGTGAAGTCTTGGTTCGATTTGTAGTCAAGCCTACATAAATTTACAATAATTGCCTAAAGTTACGTACTTTAGGCAATTATTGCCTAAAGTTATGTACACATTTGGCTGGCACTAAGCACTTTTCACATCTAATATTTTAGGAATGCAATCTAATGTTCCTCTGATTTCTAGGAAAAAATCATATACATTGCTCTAGATTTTTAACTGTGTGACTCAAATGGTCAAGGATATTTTATATTCAAATTGCATATCTCTCTTTTTAAGCAGTGATTGTGTTTCTTCTTCTATCAGTAAGTTAGCCTATATTTTTAGATTTTTCTCTTCCTGTTAAGAATATATTTTGAAAATTTTCTTTATTAAAAATAAAAAATAATAAGGCAGAATCAGCAGAGAGTAAAATCCAGGCTCTGTATTTCATAGCCCTAACATTTAAGATACATCTTAAATTCTAACTCCTCCACAAAAGCCTTTATCACCAATTAGAGTTCTTTGAGCTCACTACTTTCTAATCAACTAGGCATCATTTGTGGCCAAATATTAATATTTAATCATAAATGTATGTAGTTTTTTAAACATACATTAGCTTGATTTCAGGAATTTGAATATAGGTCCCTGAAGAGCTAGAATGTAGCTTCTTTGTTTTTGTTGTTGTTATCCTTTACAGAACCCAAATCAGTGTCAAGCATATGGTAATTGTTTGAAAAACACTAGTGAATTGCTCTGGCTGATGTGGCTCAGTGAACTGAGCACCAGCTTATGAACCAAAGGGTCGCTAGTTCAATTCCCAGTCTAGGGCACATGCCTGGGTTGCAGGCCAGGTCCCCCATAGGGGGGTTGCATGAGAGGCAACCACAAACTGATATTTCTCTGCATCTCTTTCTCTCTCCTTTCCCCATTCCAATAAATACATAAAATCTTAAAAAATGAATTAATCATAAGCTGTCACAGTTCAGAGGTATCATTTCTTAACCAGGAGCACATTAATTGCAAAGCCCCAAACCTCACCAAGAGCAGCTACAACAGCAGCACCAGCAGAAGCAACAAGCATTGGATCCTCGGTTCCCCATTCCATGTTGGCCTGGGAGGGAATCTGATGTCTCCTGGGCTGTAGACATCTGCCGCTTCCGCATCTCCATCCGTTCTGACCCCATCAGCTGCAACAATGAAAAGAAAAGGGCATGGGGTGGGAAGGCAAAGTGACCACCACATAATCTTGGCAGTCTAGTTGTTTGGATCATTGAAAAGATGTAATGTGACTCTTTCCAGGTCATTTTCACTAATTCTGGTAAAATTGGTGCTTAGAATTAACTTATCAAACATTTATTTAATGTTCTGCATCTGCTGAGCACTGTGATAAATTTTAGGAATAAAATGATAAATGGAGGGTCCCCACCTTAAGGCACTCACAGTTGAATAAAGGAGACAAGTACTGATATCACATACATTGAAGACATGCAGTAAAAGCTACAATAGGGCCCTTTTTCCCAGCTCCAAGATTCCCTTTGGGTTGAACTGATGGGGAGCAGCTGAGTTATGGCTGCCCATAAGGCCTGAGCATGGATATGGGAGGAAGCCACACCAAAAATAGCAGGCACATAAGCACAGCAGTATGAGGAAACATCAGAAGAGGAAGGGGGGGTATCAACACTTAGTTATAAATAAGTCAGAGGGATATAAAATACAGCATATGGAATATAGTCAATAACGTAGTAGCTGTATGGTGGTGACAGGTGGTTACTAGATTTAACATGGTGATCACTTTGTATGCTATATAAATGTCAAATTACTATGTTGTATACCTGAAACTAATATAATATTCTATGTCAACTATACTTTAATTAAAAAAAAGAAGAAGAAGAAAGAAAGGGGAGAACAGGATTCCTGGGATGCTGTCCAGATCTGAGGCCTCACTGATATATTCAAATCTTAACTAGCTGTGAAACCTTGAAGAAGTTACCCAACTCAGTGCAAAGCACTTAGAATCTGCCTATTCAGGCCTGTCTTGCCATCTGCCAGGACAGACACACTGGCCTACCTCAGTGGAGCTCAAGCCATTGGAAACAAGATCTAAGCCATTCATTCCCTCTCTTTGTTCTGAGGACTACAAGAATGATTGAAAGAGAGAAGCTTAAAAGTAGTATAAGAAACAAGAAATTGCTGAGTCCATTTTACTTTTGATACTATCACTGAATTGTCTAGGGAGTAAAAGCAAAAATATATCACGGCTACATCAAATAACCTCAAATAGGACTGTGGAATTGAAATCTGGGTTTGTTTTTCTTGTCCAACATTAGATTTATCTCTTCCTATTGCTACCTATCTTTTATGCTATTGGACTTTAATTATTATCATTTTATTATATACTTTCATGCTGGATAGATAGAGTTTACTTTATGGATTAAAATAAATGTTTTTGTCTGTCCTTATCTATTTTTTCTTCCAATTGAATTTTGGAATCAGCTTGTCAAGGTCCAAAAATACTATGTGAGGACTTTGATTAGAACACATTGAATTTGTAGCTTTAGTTATGAGAAATGTCATCTGTTTTAGTACCTGCCAATCAGAGGTGAATCCTCTGAATTAACTGTTTAAATTACACTGAGATGTAAGTTCCAGGGCAGCAAGAGGAGCCTGTCAAAGTGTCTTACTGTTCCTTCATCCACAGCCAAAACAATGCTCACAACATCTGTACAAAGAGCACAGTCTCCAAGTAGTCTAGGACTAAAGCTGGTACAGCTCACTTGACCAAAGGTGGAGGCAGAGACCTTTGCCCAGCTCACAGCCATGTTTTATAGGCAGTACTGGAAGACAGACACCCCTTTATGCCCCAGGGGAAAAGTTTTGGGATTCTCTGGTTATCACATTCTCACAATACCATCAGCACTGCAGTGGGGACATAGAAATGATATGGTTTCACTTTATTCAGGACACTGAGAGGAGGCACAATCTCCAAAGATACTTTGAGCAAATGATCTCCAGGTAATTATTTTCTAGGAGAAACTGATGCAACTTGCCTCATTTAAAAAAATCCCAATTGCTTCTCAAAAGAAAAAAGAATTGTGGCATGGTAATGCTGTGAGGTTTCAAGGGACTACTGTTTCAACATCTTTGCAACATTGGTTCTTCCCAGGTAGTGTATGGAATATCCTTTCATTTAAATCTTGTCTCATGTATAGTTTAAGAGTTTCACTCAAACAGATCATGCATAGCTTTGATAGATTTATTCCTAAATATTTTTACAGATCAGTTTTTGCTGCTGTTGTAAATACCCACTCCCATGTTTCTAGATAGTTATTTCAGAATATAGGAAGGCTAAGAATACTGTATCTGCTCTCTCTATTGAATTCTCTTTCTAGTTCTAGTAATCTTTGTATTGATTCTCTTGGGCTTTCTAGTTAGATGATCATACTGTCTATAAATAATCACACTTACCTGTTTATTTTTTTGGACTTTTCCAAGCTTTCTAAGGTATAAAAATCCTTCCTCTATATTGGATATGTGTATGAGAGAGAGAGAGAGAGAGAGAGAGAGAGAGAGAGAGAGAGAGAGAGAGAATTAGCAATACCATTAGGCACTTTTATGTTCTTCATGATTTTAATGCTAAAATCATAAATTTTACCCACATGTGTGATATGTGTTGAAAGTTTTTGGAAGATAACTTTACTGAGTTAAGCAACCTTTCTTCCTTTATTTAATACTATAAAATAAGTTGCGCCAGCCTGTTTTATTAGTTGACATATTTTATTTGCTTATACACACCTATTTCTTTGGGTACCTAGAAGAATCATAATGACAATAAGCAAACTCTTAGAGAACTTAATAAGGTTGCTCATGATTAGATATTGCCTCAAAAAGTCAAAGGCAAATTCCATCAAAGTCTGTTCTTACACATTTTTGAGAACAGCTTTATTGGGCCCAACAGATGAACCTGCATGTGTTAAAGGGCATAATTTCATAAATTTTAACATGCATATACCTGTGAAACCACCACTACGGTCAAGACCACATTATCAGCTTCAAATGGTTCCACATGATCCTTAAGAATTTCTTTCTCTTTTTCCTCCCTCTTGGCTCCTGCCTGCCCCAGGCAATCACCAACCTGGTTTCTCCCATTATACATTAATTTCCAATTTTTAGGATCTTGTACAAAATGGAATAAAAAATATACTGTATTTTGCCATGTATACCATGCACTTTTTGCCTAAATTTTTGAGGGAAAAATAAGGATGTACATTATACATAGGTGTAATGATCACATAACATGGGTATAATAATGAATATAATAATCCTGTACATAATGTGCACAAAAACATGGATGCTCATTATACATGGCAAAATATAGTATACTCTGTTTTTGGTTTGTTTTCCTTCACTCAGCATAATTATTTTATAATTGTTGCATGTATTAACATGCATTCCTTTTTATTACTGAGCTGTATTCCACTGTATAGATGTATCACAATTTGCTTCTTCATGCACTTATTATTGGGCTTACACTTTTTTGATGGCTGCTGAAAAGATTATATATAAGACACCATGAACTTAAAAGTCTTATTAGACAAAGAAATGTATGTAGCTGAGACTATATTAAAATTTATTGCACTATACAGTTGTAACATGTTTCTATAGCCTGTTCTTGCACATTGAATAATGCTTGATGAGCATATTCTTTTGGTATTTCTGTTGGATTAATCATAGGTTCAACATTATTCAAATTTATAATTCCTCATTTCTTTTCTCGATGCTCTGTCTCAGTTCATCTTTGTAGAGTTTCAACTTGGTCTCATAATCTATTTAATTTCTCTTCAGTGTATCATTAGAATTTACTGTGTGGTTTCTCAGAATTCTTGCAATTCAACAACTTTGATATCTTAAATCATTTAAAGCTTTGAATAAACAAGTATACAGAAAGATATGCTATTTCTATAACATTTACTAATAAACCATTACCTTTTATTTTCAAAAATTCTAAATTAGCAGCATGGTTTTCATTCAGTTACTAGATGCTGGAGTGTTTAGTGGCAGGAATGGTCATGAGTATTCATATTCTGCTAAGCTGTGGTGTAGTAGGAGACCCTGAGAGGAAGCTCAGAGTATTAATAAACATGAATACTGAAGTGATGTCAACACCATGGTGGTGTGAGAAGACTGCTTTGTTCCTCCCCTTAAACTTACAATAATTCAAACAACTATAACTCAACAAAGGATCTCCTGCTGAACACACAAACAACCTGAAAGAGCCAGGCATCAGGGCACCTGAAGGTGGGCCTGTTGGAAGAAGTTGAGGAGACAAGATGCAGGGAAAGGATAGGAACAATGGCTGCAGACACAGCCTGGTGTCCACTACAGCTCCAGTGAATGTGGTACAGTGGCTCCAGCCCTCACACTATATCCTGGAGCAGAAACAGTGTCTCTCCATGAAAAAACATTATCTTCCTTTCCCTCTGCATCACAACTTAGCCCTGTAGAGATGTCTGTGTGCTTTAACAGCACAGGGGTACCCACATCCATTGCTGGCAGGGAGGTCAGAGCTGCAAAATCATGAATTTTCCTGCCTTGCCCTATACCCTGGCAAAGCTGGGTAGAAGTAGTGAAGATACCTCCAACAACACAGCAGAGCCAGCAGCCATTAGTAACAAGGAAGTAGTTCTGGGAACTTGCAAAACCAGTTCTCCACCACCTACCACATTGCTCCAGTGCACTGGTAATGCCACCTAACAGAAGCAAGCCAGTCACAGAGGGAACACCTGTTGCCCCAGTGGGTGGCATTTTTTTCCAGCCAAAGCAATGCTGTTCCACTGAGGGCCAGGTAGGAGAGAAAAAACAAAATAAAACTGTGTGATGACACCATTTACTGGAAAACAAAAGAAGTTACCCTATCAACCTGCTGAATTGTTGACAGCAAAGAGTATCTAAACAAGAAAACCACTCACTGTTTCAAATGTGCAGGTTGGGAAATGATCCATTGAACACCATGAACAACCAAGGCAATATGGGAACACAGAAAAAAATGAAGTCTCCAGAAACCAAAGCAGAGTCAAGGAAGGCTGCAATTTAAATGATGGGGAATTTAAGATTCATACTAACTTCTTGTTGGGTCTAAGAGAACATTATTCTTTTATTATATTTATGAAATTGATTTGGTGATATATTA